ACTGGCACAATGTTTGACCGCCGAAAATTCAATACATCCTACCACTTCTTCTACAAATGTTTTTATCTATTTTAAAATTGGGTAAAATACTCTAACTACCTTTTTAATTTGCATCAATTATAAAGATCTCTCCTCTATTTTAAAAACATACAGTTTAATCCAATTATTTAATACTATTAAGAATATTCTAAAATATTCTAAAAATATTATTTTTAAATAAAATTTATATTAAAATAAATTTTATTTACTATTTTATCTCTCATTCTAATAAATTTCTAAATTTTATTTCTACAGTTATATCTATTTCTTTCAGTTAAGATAAACATCAAAGATTAGAGTAAAAAGTTTAACTAACTTTTTAATAAATATGTATATACTTGACTAAATATGTTTATAAATTTTTATAACAAAGATATGTTTAAACGTTTAGAATTATAAATTTAAATAATTTATAAAATATTTTAAATTTATATCATGTAAACTTCACAATAAACAAAAACTATGTATTTAAAATAAGTTTTTACAATTTAAAAAAATTAAAGTAAATAATTTCTAACGAATATGATACAATATTAAAATTATAAAATTTTATGATTTAGATCAAAATTAATAAAATTTATAACGTATTATAAATTTTAAAAATAATTATTTTTTAATTTTATGAATACAACTTTTGGAAAATATAAATGTCTAAATAATTATTAAGTTAAAAATAGGTATTTTGGAAAAAAAATAATTTAAAGTCAAATTTAATGGTCAACTAATAGTTTAGGTGGATGGAAATAAAATCTTAAATATACAAGGGAGATTTATGTAACATATGTTTTAACTGTAAAGGAGGTTCATGTATGTTTTCCAAATAAAAAGAAAGTTTCTGTAATTGATATAAAATAGAGGGGAGGTGTCTGTAATTGAGATAAAATAATTAATTTTTTATTTTAATTAAAGAGAAACATTCTGGTCATTTAACAAAATCAGAAATCTTAAATTAGGACTCTTGTCCAATTAAGATTTTTTCTTATATTTTTAATACTCAATTTTTTACATTTTAGAATTTAACTTTTGATTTATTTTTTTTTAGTAATCTTAATGCCCGCGCAGTGTTTGACCGCAGAAAATTCAATACATATTACCACTTCTTCTTATACAAATGTTTTTACCTAATTTAAAATTATATAACCATTTAATACATCTTTTAATTTATTACAAGACACATGTTTTGAACTTTAAATAAAAAAGTTGTATTTATTATGCTTGAGAAAAGTAACTAGGATTTTCTCTATTTATTGCATTCTGTGAAAATAAATTAAAATCAAACTTAACGGTGAACTAACGGTTTGAGTGAATAAAAATAAAATCTTAAATATATAAAGAAGGTTTATGTAATATATGTTTTTATTATAAGGGAGGTTTACATATATTTTCAAAATAAAAAGGAGGTTTCTGTAATTGAGATAAAATATAAGAGAGGCTTATGTAATTGAGATAAAATAATCAATTTTTTATTTTAAGTAAAGAGAAACATTCTAATCATTTAAAGATATCAGAAATCCTAAATTAGAGCTCTTGTCTAATTAGGATTTTTTTCTTATATTTTTAATACTCATTTTTTTACATTTTAGAATTTAAATTTTGATTTTTTTTTTCCAGTAATCTTGATGCCCGTGCAGTGTTTGACCGCAGAAAATTGAATACATCTTACCACCTCTTCTTATACAAATGTTTTTACCTACTTTAAAATTATATAACCATTTAATACATCTTATAATTTATTACAAGACACAAGTTTTGAACTTTAAATAAGAAATTTGTATTTATTATGCTTGAGAAAAGTGACTAGGGTTTTCTCTATTCATTGCATTATGGGGAAAAAATAATTTAAAATCAAACGTAACGATCAACTAACGGTTTGGGTGGATGGAAATAAAATCTTAAATATACAAAGGAGGTTTATGTAACGTATGTTTTAACTGTAAATGAGGTTTATATATGTTTTCAAAATAAAAAGAAGGTTTCAGTAATCAAGATAAAATAAAAGGTAGGTGTCTGTAATTAAGATAAAATAATCAACTTTTTATTTTAATTAAAGAGAAACATTCTGGTCATTTAACAATATCAAAAATCCTAAATTAGGACTCTTGTCTAATTAATATTTTTTTCTTATATTTTTAATACTCAATTTTTTACATTTTAGAATTTAACTTTTGATTATTTTTTTTTCAGTAATCTTGATGCCCGCGTAGTGTTTGATCGTAGAAAATTAATACATCTTACCACCTCTTCTTATACAAATGTTTTTACCTATTTTAAAATTATATAACCATTTAATACATCTTATAATTTATTACAATACGCAAGTTTGGAACTTTAAATAAAAAATTTTATTTATTATGCTTGAGAAAAGTGACTAGGGTTTTCTCTATTTATTAAATTCTGTAGAGAAAAATAATTTAAAATCAAACTTAACAGTCAACTAATAGTTTGAGTGGATGGAAATAAAATCTTAAATATACAAGGAAGGTTTATGAAACATATGTTTTCACTGTAAGAGGGGTTTATATATATTTTCAAAATAAAAAGGAGGTTTTTATAATTGAGATAAAATAGAAGGGAGGTTTCTGTAATTGAGATAAAATAATCAATTTTTTATTTTAAGTAAAGAGAAACATTCTGGTCATTTAATAATATCAGAAATCCTAAATTAGGACTCTTGTCTGATTAAGATTTTTTTCTTATATTTTTAATACTCAATTTTTTATATTTTAGAATTTAACTTTTGATTTTTTTTTCAGTAATCTTGATGCCCGCGCAGTGTTTGACCGCAAAAAATTCAATACATCTTACCACTTCTTCTTATAAAAATGTTTTTACCTGATTTAAAATTATGTAACCATTTGATACATCTTATAATTTATTGCAAGACACAAGTTTTGAACTTTAAATAAAAAAGTTGTATTTATTATGCTTGAGAAAAGTAACTAGGATTTTCTCTATTTATTGCATTCTGTGAAAATAAATTAAAATCAAACTTAACAGTCAAGTAAAAATTTAGGCAGATGAAAATAAAATCTTAAATATACAAGTGAGGTTTATGTAACATATGTTTTGACTGTAAGAGAGATTTATATATATTTTCAAAATAAAAAGGAGATTTTTGTAATTGAGATAAAATAGAAGGGAAATTTATGTGATTGAGATAAAATAATCAATTTTTTATTTTAAGTAAAGAGAAATATTTTGATCATTTAACAATATCAAAAATCCTAAATTAGGACTCTTGTCCTAATTAAGATTTTTTTATATTTTTAATACTCAACTTTTTTACATTTTAGAATTTAACTTTTGATCTTTTTTTTCAATAATCTTGATGCCAGCACACTGTTTGACCGCAAAAAATCCAATACATCTTACCACTTCTTCTTATACAAACGTTTTTACCTATTTTAAAATCATATAATCATTTAATGCATCCTATAATTTATTACAAGACACAAGTTTGGAACTTTAGATAAAAAAAAGTTGTATTTATTATGCTTTAGAAAAATGACTAGGATTTTCTCTATTTACTGCATTCTGTGGAAAAAAAATTTAAAATCAAACTTAAAGGTCAACTAATAGTTTGGGTGGATGAAAATAAAATCTTAAATATACAAGTAAGATTTATGTAACATATCTTTTAACTATAAGAGAAGTTTATATATATTTTTAAAATAAAAAAGAGGTTTCTGTAATTGAGATAAAATAGAAGGAAAATTTATATAATTGAGATAAAATAATCAATTTTTTATTTTAAGTAAAGAAAAATATTCTGATCATTTAACAATATCAAAAATCCTAAATTAGGACTCTTGTCCTAATTAAGATTTTTTTATATTTTTAATACTCAATTTTTTACATTTTAGAATTTAACTTTTGATTGTTTTCCCCCAATAATCTTGATGCCAGCATAATGTTTGACCGCAGAAAATTCAATACATCTTACCACTTCTTCTTATACAAATGTTTTTACCTATGTTAAAATCGTATAATCATTTAATGCACCTTATAATTTATTACAAGACACAAGTTTGGAACTTTAAATAAAAAAGTTGTACTCCCTCCGTTCCTTATTATAAGAGACATTTGATGCTTATGGCATGTTCCTATATATAAGAGACACTTAAAAGTTGTTTCTACTTTTTTGTGTTGATTTCTTATTTTACCCATATTTATTGTCTCCAACTCACACTCTCTCTCCCTCCTACTTCTCTTTCTTTTAATAATTTAATTGTTCTCTCTCATGCTCTCTCTCCTTATTAATGAAGGCATTTTTGGGGAAAAAATTATATTTTTTACACATTGATTGTTCTTAACTAATTTTAACTACTTTTTTTATCAACGTAATTCGGTTATTTGTCTCTTATAATAAGGAATTGAGGGAGTATTTATTATGCTGGAGAAAAATGACTAGGATTTTCTCTATTTATTGCATTCTGTGGAAAAAAATAATTAACGCACCCAACATTTAAAATTGACTTTCTCACACCGAAAAACGATACTTTGTGTGTGCTTGAATAGATCACAAATGCAGCAATAAGCTAATTCGCTTTAGGGGGTGTTTGGCTTTTTTGCCAAACCATGGTTTGGCAAAAAATTTGCCAAACACCCCCCATTTTTTTTTAAAACCAAGGTTTTGGAGGTTTTGCTCAACAAAACCTCGATTTTAGATAAGCAGGCGGGGCGTAGCTTCTGAGGAGGGACAATTATTGGCTTCAACGGTCAGCTCACGGAGGGAACAAGCACGCGGGGGGGTACGCTCAAGGTGAAGATCCATTCTGAAGGGAACAACCCATTCTTCCGCCTCTTCTCTCCGATTCATTGCCGTCACCCTCTCCGTTCAGCTCGGTTCCGATCTCGAGCTGCTCTGTTTGAACAAGAGAAGAATCGAAGGAAAAAAGCCACCCATTCTGCCACTTGATTCGGTCCTGTGTCATCGGTGAGAACTCCGGTAAGCTACCTCCATGAACTCCGGTTATGCATTCTCTGGTCGATTTTCACTGAACACAAGCGTATATCATTCTTTCGCTGTCGCCCCTTCTGAAGCTCGACGGGTCTTCTTGCCACCGGGGAGGTCGTTGAGCCTGTGAATTTCGACGCTGGTGAGGTTACTAGGCTTGCCAAAAGAAGATCGATTCGGTGTTGAGTTCGTCCGGTCATCAGCTACTCTGGTCGCCGTATCTTCTTCCGTCAGTCAGATCCAACGTTTCAGGTAAGCTGTCTTCTTCCTTGCTGGTTGTGGCTGGAGATGGAAGATCTGGTGCATTATGAAATTCCTGTAACGTCGTCTTCTTTCCCCGAAATGTCGGTCATCCAGCGTAATTTTTTTCCCCGAAACAGAGGTCGTCCAGCGTTGTTTCTTTCTTCCGAATCAGATGTTGGTTTCACCAGTTGCCTATGCTATGTTCACTTGTAGAGACTGATTTTTTTATGGTAATCGTGTGTGTGTGTGTGTATACGATGGGAAAGATCTCGGGACTGGTTGTGCTTCGTGTGTGTTGATCAAATTTTCCCTTTGGTCGATTTTATTTTGGAGACAGGACACTCGAATTTTTCTCTTTTGTGCCTGATGGTTGCTTTTGCAGTGTTATAGTGGTTAACCGAAATATGTATGGAATTTTGATTGTTGGTTGTAGCCAAATTGGGTCAGTTAACCGAAAAGAATTCTACTGGATGCTGGGAAAAAAAGTCATTATTAACGTGTATGTATACTGTTGGATTATAGAACACGAGGCTATACTTGTTAAATACTATAAATACTATCCTGTTATATCATATCTCCTGGACTGAATGGTATGCTTTTTGGGTTAAACTTGTGATAACTAAACTGTTGTAATTGATTTATAGCATAATGAATAAAAAAAATGGCAAAGCTTCGTGGGATATAAGAGCCACAAAGGTCTTTATTGACCTGTGTATTGAAGAAGTTGAAAAGGGGGAAGAAGAGGAACTAGCTTGACAAAGCCTGCTTGGACAAGTATTGAGAAGAACTTTACTGCAAAGACTGGGAGAGTTTATACGAGAATCCAATTAAAGAACAAATTTGATACCTTGAGAAAGGAGTGGCAGTTATAGGATAGGCTGCTCCGTGAGACAGGTTTAGGGTGGGATGCTGAAAGGAATACTGTTAGTGCCCCTGATGATTGGTGGGAGAAGAAAATAGTGGTAATCATTTTACTTTATTTGAGCTTGTATTTTCTCCCATGTTAACGTTTTTTGTATAATGTATAATATTTTTGGTGTTGAATGCGCAGGAAGTTCCAGGCTATGAGAAATTTAGAGAAAGAGGGCTTCAATTTCGAGCTGAATTGACTCAACTCTTTGGGTCTGTAGCTGCGACTGGACCACAGTCATGGGCACCTTCTTCCATGACACTTCCAAGCGAAGGAGTTCCTGAAAATGATATGGAAGAAGGATTTGGAGATAGTGATGAAATTTTGGGGGCACCAACTGGCATAAGCGGGGAGTTTAATTCAGTCACATTCAATGACAATAGTGGAGGAAGTGGAGGCAACACTGGAATGAGACAGGAAACCATTCGTGGGGGTAGAAGCACAGGTGGTAGTCGACTAGTAGCTCATTAGGGGTTAGAAAAAAGGGTGAATCTATGAAGAAGAAATCTACTACCACTATGAAAATAGCGGATGCACTAAGCAGAATAGCTCAGGCAAATGAAAATGATTCTCAGCGTGAACATGAAGAGATTTCAGAAGCATGTGCTAGGAAGGTAGAAGAAGAAGCACGTGCTTATGAGACGTCAATTGCGGGAGTCATGGAGCACCTTAATGAAGTTGATGAAATTGTTGATGATCCTGATCTGTTTGGCCGGTGCACAACACTTCTTATGGACAAGCCAGCTGCAAGGGAGATGTACGTGGCTCTGAAGAACAAGAGGGAAAAACTACTGATCTTCTTAAAGCATGCAACTAAGGATTGAGACTTCATTTATGTTACTTAGAAGATGACTGTGATAATTTGTATATATTTTTATGTGACTTAGAAGATGACTGTGATAATTTGTATCTATTTTTATGTATTATGTGACTACTGAATTTCTGTAGGAATTAAACAACTTATTTTCTTGTTAAATGTTAAGTAATTTCATATCAGGGTTTCTGAATTTTATGTCTATATGCACAGGACAAGACAAAAAATGGCTGATGAAATTAAAATTGCGAAAAAGTATCGTAAACGACAGAACAAACGGGTTAATCAAGTTGCAGTAGCGGTTGGTGGATATGCTTCTCTTCATTTACGTAAAGAGCCCCAGCATACAAGTATTTATACAGGCAAGGCATGGGTAAGGGACGTTTTACAAGGTCATTCTAATCGTTGTTATAACATGTTTAGGATGGAAAGAGAAGTGTTCTTTAGTCTTTGCACAGAATTGCAACAACACGGTCTAAGAGAAACTAGAAATGTTGGGATACATGAAATGGTTGCAATGTTTTTAAATACCGTTGGCCATGCGCTTAGTAGTAGGATGCAGCAAGAAAGATTTCAGCATTCAGGGGAGATAATTAGTAGACATTTTCATAATGTCTTACTGGCTTGCTGTAGACTTGCTATGACCAACATCAAACCAAAAGATCCAACGTTTCAGCATTTGCATACAAAAATAAGGCCCGATGGTCGATACTGGCCCTTTTTTAAACATGCTATTGGAGCAATTGATGGAACACATATTTCATGCATTGTTGATGCAACTGAGCAAACAAAATTTATTAACCGGAAAGGAAGAGTGACGCAAAATGTAATGGCGGTTTGCGATTGGGACATGTGCTTCACTTTTGTATTGGCCAGATGGGAAGGTAGTGTGCATGATGCTCGTATATTTGACCACGCCCTCACAACTCCTTCCATGAACTTTCCCCATCCGCCTCAAGGTATATTTTAAATTCCTACAATTTATTTATGCTTAACTGTTAGAAAACAAATTTTATTGACACCAATCATATATTTTATGTAGGCAAATATTATTTGGTGGATGCTGGCTATCCGACACCCATGGGATACCTTGGTCCCTACAGACGTGAACGCTACCATCTTCCTGATTTCCGAAGGTCATCTGTACTTGAAAATGACAATGAGGCGTTCAATTATTTGCACTCAAGTCTACGGAGCACTATCGAAAGAACTTTTGGAGTTTGGAAGAGTAAGTTTGCAATTTTAGGAAACATGCCGAGCTGTGACTTTTCAACACAGGTTCAAATTGTTTGTGCAACGATGGCCATACATAACTTCATTAGATCAACATCCATTTCTGATCCTGGTTTCATTCAGTTTGAACAAGAAGGTTCTTATGCAGAAGAAAATGATGATGATGGAGTTGGATCTTCACATATACCTTCATCAGTAGATTCTTCATCTCACATGGCTCGGCTTCGTGACTCTATAAGAGATCAAATTGTTCACTACATACAAGAATAGTTATGTCCTTTTTATTTTCTTTTTTCTTTTCAAATAATGTAATGTGTTGTTAAAAAAAACCTACTTGAACAAATATATTTCGTTGCAATCTCTATTATTAAGACAATTAATATGAATTTTTTTTTGTGGTTATTTTATTTTGTGAAACAAAATTATGGGATTTCATCTTTAAAATCTTTAAGAAATAATAATATTTTCTTTGGCAAAATAAATCATTTTCCTAAAAACATATTTATTTATTTTATTAATATATATACACACTAATTTCTTATTATTTATATTATTTATGCCATATTTATTATGTTGCCAAAATATATATTATTAATAAATTTATTACTTCAAATAAACATATATTATGAAATATATATTATATGTAAGTATCATTTAAACTTATATCCTTTTTAGTAATTTTTACATATCAAAAAGCACTTCTAACAATAATTATCCAAACACTCTCACTTTATCAGAATCACTTTTCCAGAAAATCTATTCTTTCAAAACCTATTCTCTCCAGAATCTATTCTCCAGAAGCTATTCTGCAAACCATGATTTTGCCTCATCCAAACACCCCCTTAATCATCCACCTCCACCTCCCTAGACGGAGTATGACTAAAAATACGAAAGTCATCCAATAGAGGAAATGGGCATATCCATTAGCTTCTTTATGCAAGAAGTTAATAGAAATATTCCGACCCCCATGCCAAAGCTTCCTAGAGAGCCTTGACAAGGATCATTTGCACTTTCCTGCCCTGTAACTTGGTTTGAACAAGCTTGTCAAATCTTTCTCTATCGAAATTTGAAAGTCACAAATCCTTCAACAAGAGGGGTCACAAAACCAAGAGTAAACAGCAGACCCATATAAGCATGAAAATAACAGACATATTCAGAAATTTCTTCTTGACAATTCATCCAAATGATATTCCATCTATTAGAAATTTTATTATACAATCTAAGTATAGTTAAACCAATCACTATCGTCTAATGTCTGTGCATGTAATTTTACATTTCTGCAGCAAAAGATTTGCCACATCCACAGGTTTGTGTAGCATTAGGATTCTTAAAAGAGAAGCCTCCCCCAATCAGAGCATCGCTGTAATCCAATTGCATACCATACAAAAAGAGTAGGCTCTTGGGATCACATACTGCAAAACCACATGAAGAAAAGTTGAGGAACATTTACATAAATAAGTACTGCCTCATGCAATATATAAACTAATAAAATCAAACCCTATAGTAAGACATGCAAATCCCACAATATAGTTTCCTTTGTAATTTGAATGGATAATCATACGAGCAGTGAATTCAAAGAGTCACCGGTCACTACGGCTATAGTATATCCTGAATCTCCAGTTTCGTTTCACCAAAATATCTTCAATCACAGGCAAAAGAATATTATTCATCAATAAATTTCTTGTAACATTGTGTGTGTGTGCGCGTTGCAGACCCAATGGAGGGTACAAATTCAGTGAATTCAATACCAAGTAACCCTTCCTTTATTCATCACAAGCAGTAAGCCTAATCAATGGAAGTAATGCAAGAGCAGTTTCAACCATCACAATTCTAGTTCGATCACAACTACTAAAAAATTCAGCAAAGAAAGCTTAAACAAAAGATCATGTAGAAGAAGAAGCTTTTACTGCATTCTCAGATTTAGAAGTCAATTCATAAAATGAACGATGAACCAGCTTCAAGCAAGCAGTGACAGCGAATAAACTAGCATTTCCTATATTACTTTTCCTAGTTATACCTGAATTTGGGAGGGAAAAACAGTCAGCCACACCATTTCACACTTTCAAACTTAGCTCTTAGGTAAAACACGAATTGGAAACTAGAAATTGCAGGCAAATTAGGTTTTAAAAGTGACTTTACAGTATACGAAATAAGTATGTGAAAAGAGTTTTGTCTTCACTTGCATAAAAGCACTTTTTTAAAATACTTTTTGGACAAACCAAGCACCCCCGAAGTCAAAATTATCATTGTGAAAATATGTCTTTAATGGATTATTAATCAGGAAGAAAAAGGTAAATTCTTACGCTACTTGAAACCTGAATCCTCGAAGATTAGTTAATTTCTCGGAGTAAATGTTTCATTCCAAATGTAGACGCACTGACACTCCAAAAGAAGCAATCCCATAACAAACCATATGCCAATGCCATCCCACTCTGCCTTAGGGATTAAAAATGTCAAATAAACTACAAGAACAAGTCGTACCAATTACGAAACCATTGTATTCAATAATGGAGTCATCTGCTCTTGTGTTAGCCCCGTCTTCAAAATCCATTGTGTATGACATGCCAGAGCAACCACCCTGTTTAACACCAATCCTTAAGCATAAATCTTGGCTGCGCTCAGACCTCATCTTGTTCAAGTGCTTCAGTGCATTATCCGTCAGAGAAATTGCAGGTGCCAACCCTTCTGGTGTTGGTGCAGCTGTTAGATTTAGGGAGAAAAGACTGTTATTAGTCTAAAGGTCAGGTGGAAATAAATGAATGACAAATGTTATTCTGAAACTATTGAATTCAACTCCAAAAATATGCACACAAAAACTAAGAAAACTAGCCGTGTCTATAAGATATTCCAACTTTTGGCAAGTAAACCGAACAACAAGAAAACCAAATTGCCTTGATAAGGCAAGCGCCGTATTAAAGTGAAAATGAAGAGGGAAAGGGTCAATATTGACAATGTGTCTCAAGGCCTACTGAATGGTTTAATACGTTGTCCACTTCCATCCTATCTCCCTCCACTCCTTCCAATACACCATTAACATATCAAATCTTTGAATCACTGCGTCATTTTGATCAAATCCTTGACCTTATAATGACCGCTGGACTTCCATTTGAAATTAGAAATTGTGTTAAAAAAAGAGTTATTCCCAACAAGTCGCCTGCTAGGAAATCAAGAAATAAATGCGTAAAGGTTCTCATTCCTCTATCTAATATTAACATAGCTCCAATAAATTCGGAGGAATTGAGCAAACTCTAGGTTTTTGCTATTACATTGAAAATATATTGCAACACTTTCCACAATGAAAGAAAGTAAGAAACCCTTCAAATGGGAGAAAGAGAATCCGTTAACCAAAACTTTTGGGGGGGGGGGGGAAACGAAACGAAACATCTAAACAGCATATGAACATGTAAGAAGCCAACGAGAGAAAAACTGAATTTTTGAGTTTAGCTATCCCTAAAAAGACTAAGCATATGAAATTCCAAACATAACAATGACACAGGATTAATTGCTCAACAGAGAATAACATGGACTAATTGACAAAACATCAATAGCCAGGTTATGTTCATGATTCGCAAGGTCAAACGGAAGACGTATCAACTGAACTCCATAAAAGTAAGCACCACGAAAATCATATTATATAAAAATCAGGGATTAAAATATCGAGTAATACAGAATATACCGAAAGGGGAAATGAAAATGAAAAATACCTGGAACTTGAACTGATCGAATCGAAAAGGATTTCCGATGATGGAGATTTGGTCGTGAAAATCGAAAAGAGACTGAATTTGGAGGAACAGATATCGGAGCCAAGTCCTTGGGGACACCAAGAACCTGGGGAGAGTACGAAGAAATTGCAGAGAACGCCATTGAAGGGGACCGAAGCAAGTTTCCGTGCCTCGCTGGAAATGACGAGCTATGTGGTGTTGCGACCTTGAAGTTGGCCCCAAAAAAAACCCAAAAACAAAAAGTCTAAACGTGAGATTTTTATGTGAAATTAATTATCGGCCGCTAAAATGCAAAGAACATCATACCTGTGGTCAGATCACAAGCTAATCGAACGATGGAGATAGATCCATCTGTATCATTATTTTTTTAATCAGTTCTATCATTTTCTTTTGTTCTTAATTTTTTGTCTTCATTAAATGTTTGTTCATCCACAGCTCTCTGAGACCCTGAACATGACTTTGAATCCGTTTGGAATAATTTAAAAATAATCTTTTAATCGTAATTTATAAAATACAAGATAAGCATGTGAGAAGAGTTATATCTCGACTTACGTAAAACATGTCTATAACTTATCTCAATCGTAATAGCAAATATGACTTTTATCTTTTTCATCTTAAATATAATTTTAGTAATAGTAATTCAACTTGATTCAATTTAAATATGATCATTTACGTTTTGGATCATTTGAGAATAATGTTTATGATGTCTGAGAAATCCATGCCTATTCAACATTCTACATGATAAATGCCGCTTATAATGATAAGGGACAATGACCAACAAAACCCTAAAAATTGCGAAATCCCAATTCAAACATTTAATACTTAAAAATTTTAAGAAATGAAGTAGTTCCTGATCTGATATTTTGTAAATATAGTTAAATGACTAAAACGCTCTTATTTCAAAAAGTTTATTAATAAGTTGTGAACTGGTAATGATAAGTGTTAAATAGCAAATGACAAAAATATACTGATAATAACAAATTATTTATTAATAAGTTATGAAGTGATAATGACAAATATTGAATAACAAATAATAAAAAATATACTGGTAATGATAAATCTGAAATAAGGGTATTTTGGTCATTAAACTACATTTATAAAATACTACCATATCAGTCACCATTTTTTTTCCCAAGGTTTTGAAGTGTTAGGTGCCTAAATTGGGACATCGTAATTTTCAGTTTCTTTTTTGTCTTTTTCTCTAATGATTATGGTTATTGACTTATTTCAAGATAAATTGGGTATTAAGCTAAAATTATTTGAAAAACACTAACCACGTCCTTAATTTTTTTTTTTTTAAGAATAAGATTATGAGTTCAATTTCTAATAGATAGATGCGTGAATTTTTTTCATTGACGGAGTGATGAAAAAGGATAAAATTAAACAAGAATGTATTTTAAAAATAAATGTAATCTCATTAAAACTGCGAAAAATTACTGTTACTAATTTACTCGACATCCAATGAACATTAAAGAAAATAAAAGAAATCGTGTGGATTTAGATTCATCCATCAGTAATTTGAGGTGGCATCCAACATTAGCAGGCACAAGAGCTACGTTGTTCTGGTTCTGAAACAGATTCGGAGAATCCCGGAAAATATCTGCAATTACATGAACATGATTAAAGCAGGAACTAAGAAAAAATAAAGGAAAAATTGCTATAAAAATCTCAAGAAAAAATATAATTATAAAAAAATCCCAATAATAAATTGACAGCTTCATTTCTTACCATGAAGCTTATCACTCATTTATCATGAGATTTTTTAATAATTATATTCATTTCTTAAAATCATACACTGATATTTCCAAAAATAAGCTCAAAAATCAACAAGAAAGATAATACAAAGTATTTATTTTAATCCTAAATATAAAACTTATTTTATAATATAAGTCTTAAGTTTAAGAGGGTGTTTGGCAACCCTCAAAAGTGCCGCAAAACGAGACAAACTCATTCACATGTTTATTTCGTAAACTGTAAAAACACCTTTGAAATCATAATTTGGTTTCTATCCAAACACCCTCTAAGACAAGAAGAGTATGATATAACCACGAGTTGGAGATTGACTGAGATTCTTACATGTCTTCTTGGTGTTCATTTTCGAGTGCAATTTTAGCAACGCATAAGAATGCGTCTTCAACATTGTAGTTCTCCTTGGCAGACGTTTTGAGGTGCGGTATGTTTCCCCTGCTCTCACACCATTCCTTAACCTTTTCCTCGCAAACCTGCATCATATATATATACACCCAAGTCTTCATTTTTCACGTGCATGAATAAGAACTAAAGTTACTCCCTCTAGTCTTAAAAAATGTAGGAGTTTAATAATAATGGGTTTATTTTGATATTAGATGTAGCATTTCAATTACCTCTAAAAAATATTTAAAAATTGATTAAATTATTTATTAAAAATGTGTGTTGGTTTTCTTAAAATGTCATATTTATTCATTAGTGTTAGAACTACCCATCATTAGAAACTTTTTCTTTTCACGTGTAATCAATATGAATAATTTAATAAATATATTACTCTTTCAATCCTTAATATAAGACCTAATTATTAAATTAATTTTGATTCTAAATATAAGACCTATTTTTCATATTTATTAATTTTTCTTAAAGTACCCCTAGGTATATTCGCTCAACTATAACCAAGTAGAAGAGAGACGGAGAATATTAAGAAAAATGATTATGATATTTTAAAAAAAGCATACTATATTTCTTATAATTAACTAACTTACCTAACTTCCTTAATCTAATCAAATTAATTAAATAAGTTTTATATTAAGGATCAGAAGAGTATAAATTTGGAAGGCCAAAAATGTTAAAATCCTTATATTTATGATCAAAGTAAATTTTTTTTATTAATTGCACATGTTAAAGAGTTTTTTTTTTTATTAAAGGAGTAGTTTCCCATCCAAATGATTAAAATAGATACTCTCCTTTATAAAAACAAACATACAATTTTATATAAATGATTGGCGTAACTGTTTTTCTTAATTAATTTCTACAAATTGGTTATTTAAATAACTATTGTATAAATCTCTCTATTTCAATAGCGTAGTGTTGAAGGTAATGGCCAGTAACACGTAGCGCACTCATACCATGCTGTTAGAACAAAACTAAAATCATTGATTAGATTCAGAAAAGTTAGTTAATGTCGTTTCATACCGTTAGATTCTGGCCGATAGCGAGGTCAATTTTGTTTCCGAGTAATACAAAGGGAAATGCTGCGGGGTTGTCCAGATCTGCCTGAGATCAAAATGAAAAACACAAAATGAGCTTTATTTCATTAAAACCTGGTGAAAAAACTGAAAATAAATGAGTCAATAACAGGGAGATTTTTAGGTGATTTTAATATTTCAAACTCACTTACTTTCCACGTCATTTTATTATACTAATTTCAGTCCTTAATATAAGAACTAAAAATTAGTTAACTAATTTGAATAGATTAAAAAAATTAGTTAAATTAGTTATTTGTATATCATTACTAATCAAGTGTATTGGCTAGAACTACCATTATTACAAGGATTATCTTAAAAAAATAGATAAATATAAAAAAATGAATTGAGATTTTATATTTAAGACGAAATAAAAATCAAATAAGTTTTTTATACATCTTAACAACTCAAGGAATTTTTCAAGGAAAGATCCTAAATTTTTCTGTAATTTTAAAAGAAACAGTTATGAAACTATTTTACCATATCCAATGTTAAAAAAGGCAGTATTCATTGTTACTCCGTTGTTTTCATCCAATATATATATACTGATTTTATTATTTATAATTTTAGAATATACATGCATGAATGCTGGTAAAAAAAAAAAAAGAATATACATGCATGAAGCAAGTGTATCCATATTTCTTGCCTTTTTTCTTTTTTTTTAATTTTTCATCCTTTCTTTAGCCCACCGATTCTCTTAGAACATTTGATGAGTTTATGGTCTTAACCATTGAACCAGCCTAGTTCTCTAATCAATTAAAAAAAAACTGCTTCTTTGAACATAAATCTGAAAAGAAAAAAAAAATGTTTCTTGCTCTGCTTGACTAATTTGAATTGAAAAAAAATTTAACTAAATTAGTTATTTGTCAAAAATATATGTTTAATTTTCTAAAATACTTTCTTAAATTATTTGTATTAAAATTACCTCTCATACAAACTCTCTTAACATATATATAATCAATAGAGATAATTTAGAAAAAAAAAAGATAAATATAAAAGACAAAATAAACTAATACTTTATAGTTATGAATTATGATTAAACTCGAACTCCCGACTAATTTTTATATTAGTAATTGGAAGCAAGATATCCTAAAGTATATACTACCTCTAGTCCTAAATATAAAAGCTAGTTGATTAATTTAAGTAGATTAAAAAAACACGTTAAGTTAGTTATTTATAATAAATAGGTATTATCTTTTTAAAAAATCCTTACTAATCAAGTTTGCTAGTTAGAGCTATCATTATTAGAAGAACCTATATTAAAAAAAATAAATAAATATGAGACAAATTGGATTAAAGTATTATATTTAATATCAAAACAAAAGTCAAATAAAGTCTTATATTAAGGACCGGAGATAATATATCCAACCTCATCTCAAGCATGACCCCAAGGGCAGATACAGTGAATTATCATCTCTCTCTATCTCTTTGTGGATTTTTTTTTTTTGGCATTGGGTTAAACTAATACGACAAAGAAAAGTGAATTCAAAAAATAATGGAAGAAAAGTAGCTATCATAATAAATAGAGCCTTCCATATACATGGTTTGGCCATTCATATCATCTAGAGATTTTTAATCCAATGGTCATAAATTCACTAAACATAAACAGAGACAGTAACTCCAGAGAGAGAAATCCGGATTGATGCCACAAACCTGTCTAGAGAACTCGTCATGCCACGTGTTGAGTGTCTCGAAGGTTCTAGGCACATTCACATCATACACCAGAACACAGCAATCTGCTCCTCTGTAAAATGCAGTCCCCAAACTCTGAAACTTTTCCTGCCCTGCCGTGTCCCAAATCTGCAGTCACAACATGAATTTTGCCCAGAAAATCACTTCAACCTTTTCCTTAACAAACACAAAGAAATCAATCACTCACCTGCAAAGTTACCGTTCTGTCATCAACTTGTAGTTCCTTTGTAACAAAATCAGCCCCTATCGTGGATTTGTAATGCTCACTGTACTTCTTATACACGTATCTGAATTTGTAGTAAGTTATGAATTTGATAGCTATTGAGAGAAA